GTGGAGTGGGGGATCGACAAGAATGATTTCTCAATGCTCATCTTTCCCACCGTAATTCCAAGGGTTGTGTTGCTGTGTGACGAGGGGCTCGAGAGTTTCAGGTCAGCGCTCAGGACTCGGTCACCATAGTATAGTATCTGACCCTACATCACAATATGAAACTTGTGACCCCCATTCCCATTCTTTTGGACGTCGACGTAAGTAACCGGAGTTTGCCCAGTCTCGAATCATGGGCGCCAAACGCCAAGTCTGTCATTACTTGTAACTTGTAAGCCGACGATCGAGCGTCGAGCGGGGTACATATCACAATCGAAGTTGTCGACTTGCAAAGCCGCTAGTATGTATAATACTAGAACAGATCTTCTACCGGCGGCGGATATTACCACTTTCCAAAACCCCTGTATGTTCTTTGACATTGACATTACTTTCTCGAATCCCAGATGTCGTTAAGGTCCTAGGTTGGGGGTTGGCGATTTGCTTTGACCCCTCTTGTCTCGTGGTGTTGAACGTTGAGACTCGAGAGGCGCACACAGTCGAGTGAGTTCGTCGATCGTCGATCATTTCGGAATGTGAACTACTAGTCTGCTCGTAGGTGTAATACCACCAAAATCGAGTAGGCCCCACCGGGATTCAGGAAGATCTGTGAGTCTCTTTCATGCATGTGTTAATCTCTAGCTGAGCTGAGTTGAGGAGGTGTCGCGGGTTTTAGGACTTGGATATGATATACGATGAATGCCCATACCATACTATACCTACAACTTAGAATCTCAGGTGAGCTCAAATAAATACGAACTACGAGCTACGAGGGATTCTTGGCGGTTACTAGCTGCTCTCGAAACATGATTGCATGAATCCATTTGACGGTGGCAGCGGTGATTCAGTGGGGATCGACAAGAATGATTTCTCGAAACCTCGTGTTTCCCACCGTAACTCCCCCAAACAAGTCGGAGTCGTGTTTGCAAATGAAACCGTACTGGGGGCTCTAGGTCAGTCGAGAGTTGGCGCTCGGTCACTATTGTATCTTGACCCTACATCAACCCCCAAACCCTTCGACGTAAGTAACCGGAGTGTCACTCTACCCCGCCCTGGCGCCTTCAACCCCTGCCCCCTCGAATCCTGATTCCTGACAAACGACAAAAACGCCAAGTCTGTCACTTGTAAGCCGACGATCGAGCGGGGTACATGGAACGCGAGCCGCTAGCCGCTAGGAATCAGGGATCTTCTACCGGATATTAGAACGTTCCAACCCCTAAGTCTGACATTGACATTGACATTAGGCACTGTCTTTCTCGAATCCCGGATGTCCTTACAAGGATGATGTTCCGAGTCGTCCGGAAAAGTTGGAAGTTTGGAGGTGCGATGCTCGACTTGAAGAAATTGAAAAAGGATGCTCACGTCCACGCTCACACACTCGCCCGCTCGAATACGCGTTCTATGTTCTCGTACTTATCTTCATATCTCGCATATCTCAGTGGGAACGAGGTAGATACAACCGGTAATGAGTAGAACGGCCCTTAAAGATAGACCCCTGGAGAGGGATCTTCCAAGTACCTGCAGGCTGCGGACCGCGGCGGATATTAGACGTTCCAAACCTCCTACATATCGCTCCTCATTCCGAGTGGGCCGGTGTTGGACTACTTGGGTGAACGAAGAGGCTTTGGGGGGTATCCGGCGGATATTACTTCCTTCCTTCCTTCCTAAGTAGAGGGGATCTTCCAAATTCCAAGAACCGGCGGATATTAGACGTTCCAACACCCCTATCTACACAACGAGATATTAATTGAACTTCTTGCTTCTTGCTGGATTTGAGGACATTCCGAGTTGACCGGTTCTGGCTGGATGCGTGAATGAATGAAAAGAGGCTTCGGGGGGGTTTAGGGACTCGAATGCCCCCGGTGTGGCTTCAAAGTTCATACACAACTTTGGAGCTCGACGATTTCGACAAATGATTCGTTTCTCAATTCTCATCATTCCAGCAAATCATTCGAATTGCTCAGCGGCTCGTACTCGCTACTCGGTTTAACACACTACTACCTGGCCTGACCTGCGGGCGGATATCAGCTCATTCTTTTACGTTTCCCCTATGTTTTTTTGGACGTTCTCGAATCTGATCTGTAACGAGATATGGTCGCTAGATATGAAGATGTTTCCGGGTTGACCGGTGTTGGTTGAATGAATGAAAGAGAGAAGAGGCTTCTGAGGTTTTTGTTCCAACTTCTATGGCTTGGGCTACGTCCGGATCTTCTTTGTGGATCAATGAACGGGGTGAGCGGGCTTGGGCGTGTATATAGAACTCTCTCTTGAATGACTAGAACGTTCAACGGCCCCCTACATAATAAGGTCTGAAGGGACGTTCTGCCGGCGGATATTGGACGCTAAGTGACCCCTCCGGGAGAATATGAATCATTGCGTGATGCATTAGTCGTGGGTGGAGTCAGCCAGGATGCTGCAGCTTTAGATGCTTTGACCACGTCAGGAAACCTCTTTTGAGAGGTTCTGACGCAGGACAACGCAACGAGGCTTTATCTCTCCTTCTGACCCTGGAAACCAATGACCTGAGCGTTTGATTTTCTTTGCGGAAGAATCCAGGTGCTTGGCGACGAGTGAGTTGCTACCTCACGCAGCCTCACGCCCACGCCTCGAGGACCCAGGAATTGGCGTTACATACTCCCGTGGCAGTTCATCTACCTTCTGGGAAGATACTACTTATTGACTGACCAGTGACACGAAACCCGCAGTTTCGTCATCCCCGAGGACAACAAGGACAGGAAATGGGTGATGGCGACAAACTACCCAGCGTTCGTTTGGTCAGTTGACCGGATGATGGGGATGGACAGAATCCAGATCTGGAAGAATGAGATCTGATTCTCCCCCATCAAATTATATTGATGTAGGGTTTATATATACCTGGATCCCCTGGCGAAATCGCCTCAGCTCGCCCTTTGTTTAGTTTCGTCCCTTGTTCTCCTTCTTCCTCCTCCCTCTCCTCCCTCTCTCCGCACGAATCCCTCGTCGTGTTAAGGATAACGCTTGGTGTGAGTTGTTATTGTTATGGCGTTTGTAACCTCTCTTGACATGACATTTTGCAGATCTCGCGACCCTTACCGACTTCACCTTTTTCCGCACAAACACAACCAACAACCCGCTTGAGCCCAGCTCGCGAAGAAACCCGCTCTACTACATGATAATGACACTCCCACTAGTCATCCCCTCAGGCGCTGGGTCTACACTCCCACCAAATGCCTTGTCTCCCTCTTCGACGGACGAATCGTCTTCTGGGCCTAGAACGCCCGTGTCGCCTACGCCCAAGAACCTGAAAAAATCATCAAGAAGAGCCAACACCGCCGAACGTCGAGCGACTCACAACGCCGTCGAACGCGCTCGAAGGGAAACGTTGAATGGAAGGTTCTTGGTACGCGCATACAACTTTTCTTTTTCTCTCTCGTTCGGTCACTAAACAACGCGTTTCTCCTTTTACTTTTAGGACCTCGCCAAAATGCTCCCCAACCTCTCCCAAATCCGACGCCCCTCCAAATCCGCCATCGTCAACTCGTCCATCGCGCACATCCACGCTTCCCGAAGACACCGCGTCCTCGCCTCGCGCGAGTTAAGGATGATGAAGCTCGAAGCGGATCAGCTGAGACACGAGCTCAACGAGTGGAGAGATCGGGCGGGGATTTCGAGGGTGGAGGAACCTGTTCGAGGGGATGGATTTTCGATGGTGTTGAATCAAGAGTTGGAGGTTATACCTATCGTGACGAGTGGGGGTGACGACGATGAGGATGGGTTTTATGGGGACGACGGTACTGGTGAGGAGGGTGGAGCGATTGGTGTGGAGGAACAGCAGAGGATGATGATGGCTGCACCACCACCACCGGAACCGGGGATGGGTGGGTATCCGGATTATTCCCACCCACAACAACAACAACAACAGCAACAACAGCAGCAGCAACAACGACCGCCGTTTGTGCATCATCCACAGTCGTTACCTATGATTGCTACCCCTGGATCGTTTGATGGGTACACCACTGAATATCATCATCCTCATCATCATCAGAACCTCCCATATGACAAGTTTCCCATCCAACAACAACAACAGCAGCCTCCTCCTCCTCCTCCTCCTTACCACCAACGACGAGACAGGTCAAACTCGATGGCCTCGATGACGTCCAGCGGAAGCGCTAGTCCTCCTCTCCCGCTCTATCCCCAGCCGTTCGAAGCGGGATGGACGACCCACCCTCAGTCCGGCGGTGGTATCGGAAATGGGGTCACGTTTGCCATGATGTGATTCCCCCTTCCCCTCCCGATACCCCTTGTTCTACGACCCTTCATGACCCCACTACACAATATACCCCTATCATACCCCATTTACCTCACTCGTTTATTTTATATACTTACAAGACGTTCGTTCTTCTTTTCTATCTATATCTATACCTTGGATCTATGTATAACAACTACAAAGTGTACAAAGACAAAGAAGAAAGACTTGTTGTACGCATCAATCACTTGCACGTGTGATACCCCTGTGCCTTCCCCGCATAAACGAACGAGGGACATCGATCAACCAACTGCCAGCACGAATCCGATGTTCCGCGGGAGACACAACGCTTGAACCATCATTCATTTATTCCGCTGTTATCTAGAAGACACTTGGCCATTTTCGCCGTCACCGTCGAACATCAGACAGCTCGACTGGGGCTCCGGGAATCGGGAGTCGGGAGAATCGTCCAACGGGAATTGACGTTGGCATCAAATCGAGAAGGCGTAAAGCCCGAACACTATCTCTCTTTCTGTCTAGAGCCCCGCGGAACATGATTCATGATACCCGCACTATGCATAACCGTGTCAAAGCTGCCTTTCCCCAATTCGTATCGAGTAAAAAGGGGCGTTCTTCACAGTCCAAACTCTTTATGGACGGGCTGTGGTCGTAGGATTGATTCGAGTGGTGGTATTTCTACAACGCTCATGAAACCCAAACGGTGGTTAAAGCTCCACATATCGCCCGCCTAGCTCAATCGGATAGAGCGTCAGACTCTTATAAAGCGATCGATCATTGAACTAGGAAATCTGAAGGCTGCGAGTTCGACCCTCGCGGTGGGCTATTCTGCACTTGTGGTTGTCAAATTTTTTTTTCGTTGCACAAGCCTGTGACCCGGGTGACGGTGACGGTGAATTCTACTTGAACTGGATTATAATTTCTGTCGAGAACGAGCTCCAAGGTCTCAGAACCTACGTGGACCCTGGGGAGGGGGAAGGGGGAGGTACCAGTCGACTCTCGAGTAAGGCTATCTCGACTCCCTGAGACTAACGCATGCCTCGTACCTCACTAGCACTGTCCGAACCTCACTAGCCTTCATGCCGTCCGAGTGAGGAAGCCCGAATATCTTCATCCATTTTCCCAGTCCTGGCCGCGGAACATGAATCACGATAACCACACCGTGTCAAAGCTGCCAGTGCCTTTCCCAACCTAGTAAGTCGAAGTTGGGCTGTGGCATAAGATTATCCGAGTGCCTGCGAAACCCCTGAGTCCTGACCATTCAGCGGAGGAGGAGAGTCAAAGCTGTCACCGCCGGCAGAAAGATGGATCGATCGAGACGAACTCGCTAGCTGCTCTGTTTGAACCGGAAATTCACTCTTACGTCGGATAGAGGGTCAGACTTTGAGAACGGGCTTCAAGGTATCAGATCTCAGAAGCAAGAGGACTTTCTACGTGGGCCCTGGGGAGTGGGTAAGGCCATCTCGACTTCCCTGAGACTGAAGTAAGCTAAAATGCATGCCTCACCGTCCGAACCCCATAGCACCCCGACGGTCTTCATGCCGTCCGACTGGGGGAGGGGGCAAGTCGTGAAGCCCGAACATCTTCGCACATTTTCCCAGTCCCAGTCCTGGGCCCGAGCCCGCGGAACATGAATCATACCATACCGTGTCAAAGCTGCCTTTCCCCAACCTAAGTAGTAAGTTTGGGCTGTGGTATAAGATTATCCGAGTGCCCGAAACCCCTGACCGGGACCAGCGACAATTCAATCTTCAATATTCAAGATTCAACGGAGGGGGGTCAAAGCTGTCACCGCCGGCAGAAAGCTGGATCATTTTCCCTGCTTGCCGGTTCACTTGGGGGGGAGTAAATCGATTCGAGACTCGGGAGGTAGCCTTTTTCTCGAAACTGCTAGCGCTCTGTAAACCAGAAAATTCACTGTAGTGTGGAGATTCTTGAACCTAGCGGTCGGAACTTTTGTTTTGATCGTACCCTGCGGAGAATCGTCTACAGGAATCAAAAATCGAGAATGGAAGGCTGAATGAAGCCCAAATAATGTAAATATCAAGTTGGATCTTCTCTTCTTTATCTTGTGGTCTGAGCGTTGTATGACGAATCTTAATCATGAACCGTCTCGTGCCTGCCTAGCTCACTCGGATAGATTGGTCAGACTCTCAAGCATGTTCATAGACAGAGGAACCGAATTGGGGCAGCCATTCATCTAGTTAAGTACGCCTCTCTGAATTCATCTACCCGCCACTGATGACGGAGGTGTATGAGACTCATCCCGAGCTGATGGTTGAATCAAATCTCGGAATGACACTCGTGACTCCGAGTCGGTCGAGGAAAGAGCCTGCCCAGTCACCGTGACTGGATAGTACTGTTGCTGTTTCATTTGTACGAGTCCAGACGTGGAAAAACTAAGTAGTTTGTAATTTCTCACGCCATAATGGTATAAGACTTGCAAGTTGACGGGAGTTGGAGAAGGTTATAGGTTAACCTTCACACCATTTTCCGGTCCTCTTCAGTTGAAAGACAGTGAGGTTGAGGTGAAACGGTAGTCACGACTGCCCAAGAAGATTCCCCACATACACACTGCATACACACCAATCGGGATTCGGGAGGAACGCAACATTTGAGGCCCCTAGCATCGCCTTCTGTAAGTCCCCAATGAGTCATCACCGGATGAACTTGGAGGACGGGAAGGCGTCTGTGTGCTTTGACTTTTGACTCGGATAGTATTGTTTTAGTGAAAAACGGTCGGCGTAGATCTCGTCCGATCTGGGCTCTATGATTACATGAGCAAGCGAGACGACGGACCCCAAAGTTTAGGACGCTGTCAAAAATCGTGACTCGCAGCTACAGGTTAGAACATGAAGAAAAGAAAGTATCAATTCATACTCGGAGTGTCATAAGGTTTTGAGGCAGGATCGGGCTGATGATCGAGAGGGAGAGGGACAAGGTGAACATCCTCTGGAACTGCTATTGACCGCCTTTACAATCTACGAATTATCTATTCGGAGCCGAAGCACTGTGAGTCTTCCGTCCAATGCGGCTCAAGTATGAGACTGATGGTTCCGGAAACCTTAGATTCAATTCCAGGACCCGCAAACGTAGCCGCGGAGCAGAAATGATAGGGGGTTCAAGCCTTGACAAGTTGATTCCGATGGCCTCAGGGGCGACGGACTTGCAACGATAACCGGAGGAGACAAAAAGCCAACTCCGCCGCCGTGAGTCGGAATACATGTCCAACTCCGCGTTTGTTGTACTGAGTCAGCCTGTTCCCGAAGCAAATGACTCAGCGTCGAACGTCCACCAAAATGCACGGTCCCCCAAAGTGTAACGCGAGCAATCATGATTCATGATATAGATACCCGCAAAGCTAGTAATAATTGAATCGGAAAAGAGTTGTGGACATTGGTAATTGAGTTGGTATAACCCGTGTCGGCTTTATACCCATGAAACGCGATCCCCCTTCCTTTCAGCTCAACGGTGGTCAAAGCTGTACATATCGCTCGCCTAGCTCAATCGGATAGAACATCAGACTCTTACAGTAGTCTAGTAATTTGGGTGATCTGAAGGCTGCGAGTTCGATCCTCGCAGTGGGCTACCCTCAAACACTTATTATAGTTCATTTCTGTCGAGAGCTTGTCGTCCGACGTGTGTCATGTTTTCAACGGGAAAACTTTACCTATCATCGACAAGTCGCGTCGAAATGATTCACGGTGGCCGTCTCAGTGCTCACAAAGAGGGTGACCGCTATTGGCGTGGGATGTTATGTCTTAAAAGTTCCCGGTGGAGGTGTAAGCTTGAGGCTCGTTCGTAAAGCATCGAAGGACGGCTTGCTCTACCCCGAGTGCCACTTTCAAGCGAGACAGATTGAGAGGAGGCCATTCGGATTCAAAACGACTGTATTCGTAAACTGAGAGGGGAGCATTGCGATTGATGGGAGGAAGCATTGTCTGGGTGTATCGCATGTGTAGCAATGGCCGACGTACTGTAGTGGTAAGCCGGTGATCAGCAGCAAGCAATGGGAAGCGAAAAACAAATGCCACATTCATGCTGAACTGGGACGAAGATACACACCCGAAGAGAAAGAAAGAGAGAGAACAACACTTATTCAGTCAAAATTGAGAGGGACACAGACAAGACTCGAGAACGAGCTGTCCTTACCATGGTCATGAGTGTTTTACGGACTAGAACCCGAGAGTCGGAATATACGAGTCCGTGCAGGTGCGTCCAAAAACTATCGGCAAAAATGGCGAGGCCACGGACAACCAGAAACTGTCTGTGGCGCATATTTTCATGGACAGTGAAGATTCTGGCGGGGAGGAAATCGGTTCTTCAACTTTGAGTAACTGGAGGGTACGAGGTAGAATTTTCCACAGTTGTTGTGACTGAGGATCACCTTCTGCCTCAGTACCAGCCTGGGTAGTAGGGTGTGTCTATATCGACCAATCACCTCTACTAGGGGAGTATCCTATTGGAAGATCAGAACGTCATATAGTGGCTGCGAGAAAAATAAAGTGAGAGGAGTCCATGTCAGGTTATTATAATGAGTTCTTATTGGAGAGGGATCCAACATTGTAATGTGTGGCAGGGTCACCAATGCATCAGTGCCCTTACAATGGCACGTAACTTGGACACACAAAATTGAATGGGGAGTTAAATAAATATCTGGCACCTGCAGGAATTGAACACAAGGCCTTAACCTATCAGATAAGCTTGTAAGATACCAAGGAAATTTACCACTGTGCCATTGATTTTTGCTTCCACATCAACCATACCCACCCTAATCCTAACCCTAATCCTAAGCCCTAAACTGGGGGGTGCCCCCCCAGACCCCCGCTAATCTGATCCTCTTATCCCATACCCTAATCCCTAACCCTAAGCCTAACCACTAAACCTAACCCCTAACCTGGGAGGCTTGCCCCCCAGACCCCCCCGTATAATGCACGATTGTGTTAATTTCCAGCAGCAATGTGGCTCAGTTGGATTTCCGTGACAACTTTCAATTAAATGCACTTCCATGAGGCTTCAGGTTCGACTCCCCATGTTAATTTTGTTGCTTTAATTTGACAGGTGATCCATTATAACGGAGTGAAGTTAACATACTCATTGTAATGGACAACTACATACATAAATACAGAAATAATTATAATGGTACTGCACATTGATGACCCCGCCAAACATTACAATGTTTGATCCCTCTTCAACAAGGACTCATTATAATGACCTTACATTGTCTGTTGAAAGTGAAGAAGCTGACCTTGGCTGATCTCTTTGAAATGATGCGAGACACTGTTTATAGGATGGAAATTGTAGTTGTCCTCAAAGGAGTGTCTAGCCTGCCGTGCAAAATCTGTATTGGTCGGATCAAAGTCTCTCGAGATTTGATACCAAGAGATCATATTATATGTGTCGCTGGGCCAGGATTGAACAGTAGAACTCAATAGTCTATGTGAGTGTACTTCGAGCTTGACAGGAAGGCTGAGGAAGAGGCAGGCCTCTGGCGTTAGAGACGAGCGACCATCTTCCTGGAAAGACCAGTAATAGAGGGTGTCGGTATTGGGAGTGGATGTGTCAGGGAGGGTAATGCCAACAAAGAGATAGATTGGCAGCTTTGAGCACCGTTCATGTTTGACTGGGGATCTTGAAACATGGCCTTGCAAGGATTGCAGATGAGGCAAGGCAAGCGCTAAAAGTAACTACTGGGCACGACAATGAGCAATTGAATGGATATTGATGCGTACCATATGAGCTTGAGTTTTTGTCCATGGAAAAGTTGCAAGCCTTGAAAATGCTTAAGTCGCGAGTAACGGTGTAGAGTGTCGAGTATACCGGAAGAGCGGAGTTTGACGAGTGCTAAGGAGTTGTCGGAGCTAGGGCTCAACGAAGAGAGAAAAGAGTAGAATATGATGATTATACAAGAAGCTGGAGAGACAGCTTATATAGTGTAGAACTAGCTACGGAGTCCGGATATCTAATCTGTAAGTAGGTATGACGAGAGGAAAGATAGTGGCATAGGGTTAATACAAGTGGATATTACATACTGTGCATGATGTGTATATAACTGTGCATGATGGTAGGTAGATCGGGGGTCAAGTGTTATGGAGTACAATAGGTCCAAGGGTTGTGAGGTCATATGGTGTGGTAAACGTACACTTCAACTCTCCCCCTCAGCGCCGGTAGCGAGGTTGAGTTGTGAAACGAGATCGAGGTGGCGAGGCGCTGAAAGAGCCTTGGTGAAAATGTCGGCAAGGTTAGAGTCAGTGTGGATGTAGCGAGGTTCGATATCACCGTTCTTCACGGCGTCCCTGCAGAAGTGATGGCGGATAGCGATGTGCTTTGTGCGGGAATGAAGGTCTTGGTTCTGGGTGAAAGCTAGAGCTGCCTGATTGTCGACGTGAAGGATGGTGGGTTGAGTCTGAGGAGATCCGAGTTCGGCGAGGACGGCTCGGAGCCAGATGGCTTCGCGGGTGGCATGAGTCATAGCCATGTATTCAGCTTCCATGGTGGAGAGTGAGATGATGGGTTGCTTCTTGGCTGACCATGAGATAGGTCCGCCGTAATGGAATAGGAAACCGGAGATGGAGCGGCGATCAGATAAGTTGCCAGCCCAATCTGCATCGGAGAAGCCGATAAGTTTATCGTCGGCTGTGATACCGCCAAGGGTGAGTTCCAAGTTTGCTGTGCCCCTGAGATAGCGGAATATGCGTTTTACAGCAGTCCAGCGAGCTTGGGAAGAATTGGAGGAGAACTGGGATCGGTGAGTGACAGCGAAAGCAATGTCGAGACGGGTTCCCATGGCAAGGTACATGAGGGAACCGATGGCGAGTTGATAGGGAGTGTTCTCCATGGAGGAGTCGGCTTCACCAGCAGGAAGGGGAGCGAGTTTGACATGAGTGTTGAGTGGAGTAGGAGCGGTGTTGGCGTTGGTGAGTCCAAGTCTGTCTACGATCTTTCGTGCGTAGCCTGCCTGTGAAAGATAGATGAGGCGTTTCTTGCGGTCTTGTCGAATCTCGAAACCGATCATAGCTTGCATTTCTCCCAAGTCGTTCATTTCGAAAGCGGTGCCGAGTTCTGATTTGGACTTAATGAGGCGTGATTTGGTGGCACCGAGTGCGAAGTCATCAATATGAATAGCCAGGAGTTCAATACCGTCAGAGTAACGTCGAATGAATAGAGTAGGGTGAGAACTCAATGGGTGAAAACCAAATTTAGCGAGTTCTGTTTCGTAAACTCTGCGCCAAGCATGTCCAGATTGGCGTAGGCCATAGAGTGCCTTTCTGAGTAGCCAAACGTTGGTCGATCCGTTGTGGAAACCTGGTGGTTGGATCATGTAGATTTTGTGATCGAGTTTGCCGTTGAGATAGGTGCCGACTGCGTCCATACAGTGAATTTCGAGGTCTAGTGATGCTACAACAGAGAGGAAGAGCCGGAATGATTCGAGTCGAAGGGATGGAGCATGAGTGTGTTCGAAATCTATACCGGGTTTCTGTGTGAATCCCTGTGCAACTAGTCGGGCTTTGAATTTAGCTGGGATGCCCCCCTGTGCAGGTTTATACTTGAAGACCCATTTGGATTTGACAGTCTTTCGATCGGAAGGGAGTGGAGCTGATTCGTAGGTACCTTTGTCCTTCAGCGTTGAGAGTTCCTTCTTCATGGCTTTGAACCATTGGGGCCAGTGAGGACTGTTCTGGGCTTCGGCGAGCGATGCTGGAGAAGGAATGGATTCATCGAGTGTGAGCATGGCGTAAGCAGTGTCATCAGGTTTGTCGGCAATGAGTGAATGGTCAGGGACATGAGTTCGCCAGGCATCCGGGCGGCCGGCCTGACTCGGGGAGTTGATTTGCCGGAATCCTATTGGGTCAGTGACAGTGCGACGAGTGGTGGTGCGATCAGGAGCAGTGTTTGTGGTGTGGTCGACGAATCCCGAAGAGGTTTGTAGCCCTTTCAATTCATTGATCAGGCGTTTAGGCGCTGGGGCATTGATGATGGGTACCGATGGAGGGAAGGATAATGTTGGTGCAGATAGTGGGTAGGAGTGCTAAATGGAGTAGGTTCGGAAGGTGGAAGTACAGGAGTGGTAGATTTAGGCGTTTGAGGAGCTGGAGTAGATGGAGGAAGTGATTCTTTGGATGGAATGATAGGTGGAGTGGAAGGATCTAGATCGGCAGTGTCTCTCTCCCCCTTAGGTCCTGGAACAAGTGTTGGTTCATCAGGGACCGTGGGGAAAATGACATCTTGGGAGGTTTGTGTCTTTTTGCCGCCGGGCAGTAGATAAAGATAAGATTTCGTGGTGTCTGATAGTCCAACGAAGATAGCACGGTCAGATTTAGCGCGTGTCTTATCAATAGATGTGGCGGGCTCCTTCAGAACGTAGCATGGGGAACCAAATGGGTGAATGATAGAGTAGTCGGGATCACGTTTATAGAATGCTCGAAAAGGAGTGAAACCATTCAGGGCTCGAGTAGGTGCACGGTTGCGCATGTAGTTGGAGAAATCGATGGCAAGGCCCCAGTACTGAGGTGGGAGTGAAGGATCTGAATAGGGAGCGGTCGGTACAGAAGTGACGAGTGGCGCCAGTGTCGGCAAGCCAAGGGACT